GCATTGTGCTTAAGTATCTCCCTTTGTGCTAATGCTTCCTCTGGTTCAACAACCACTTCTAATTCCACCTCAAATCCAGTAGGTAACTCGGAAGAAGAGGAATAATTCCCAACAGCCCATTTTAGTTGAGAGACGTGAAAAACAGGGTGAATTCTGGATGACTCCAGCAATTGCAGTTTATATGCAGTTTCACCCATCTTCTGCAAAACTTTATAAGGCCCATAGAATCGAGCAGCTAGTTTGGGATTGATGCGTTTAGCTACTGACTGTTGCCTGTGAGGACGCAACTTTAAAAAAACAAATTCACCCTCCTGAAATAATATATTCTTCCTCTTCTTGTCAGCATAGTGTTTCATTAATCGCTGGGCCTTATCCAGATGAAATTTCAGTTGAGCAAGAGCTTCATCTCTATCAGCAAGATCATGGGCAACAACTTGTACCTTAGTCTCTCCTGGAAGAAATCTGATAATTCGTGGGGGTGGTCTCCCATAAATAATTTCAAAGGGAGTAAAGGGAGTAAAGGCAGTAGCAGTATGGAAGGACGTGTTGTACCAAAATTCAGCCCAATGAACCCACAAAGACCAATTTCTAGGTTGTTCTGATGTAAAACATCTTAAATAGCTTTCAAGGCACCTATTTAAAACCTCCGTTTGACCATCTGTTTCAGGATGGTATGAAGAGCTCATGTTGAGTTTAGTTCCCTGTAATCTGAAAGGTTCTTTCCAAAAACTACTAATAAAGAGAGGATCCCTATCACTCACAATAGAAGATGGAATGCCATGCAAACGCACTACCTCCTTAACAAAAATTTCAGCTACTGTCCTAGCGGTGAAAGGATGCTTGAGGAGTATGAAGTGCCCATATTTAGATAACCTGTCCACAACAACCAAAATAGCTTCATAACCTTTGGATTTGGGCAACCCTCTAATGAAATCTAGAGATATATCCTCCCAGATATGAGAAGGAATAGGAAGGGGCTGCAACAATCCCCCTGGTGCAGTAGCATACTTTTGACGTTGACACACATCACATCCATGTATATACTCCAAAATTTTCTTCTTCATACCCACCCAATAAATGTTTCCAGCAAGCCGTCTATAAGTTTTTAAGAACCCAGAATGTCCTCCTTCAGGAGAAGCATGAAACTCCTCCAATAACTTGGAAATGTAAGAAGAGTTAGCTGGTATAACTATACTCCCTTTATAAAGCAAGATTCCATTTAGCACAACAAACCCTTTCCGTCTAGCAGGATCTTGTAAAAGTTCAGATTATATTCGCTGAATAGATTCATCTTCCTGAATTTCTTTTTTTTAATTCCTCACCCTGAAACCATAAAGGATAAGACATAATAGAATTCAACTGCATTTCTCCGTGAACCCGAGAAAGGGCATCCGCAACCTTGTTTTCATGCCCAGATTTGTAAACAATAGAGAATTGATACCCAAGCAAAATGTTGCAGGGCTGATGTAGTAATCTTCTGTTGTAATAACTCCTTCAAACTCCTTTGGTTTGAAAAAACAGTGAACTTCCTTCCAATCAAATAGTGGCGCCAATGTTGAATAGATAACACCAAAGCCATCAACTCACGTTCATAGGCAGATTTGGACAACTGTCCAGCCAATAGAACCTTACAAAAAAAAGCTATAGGATGATGATGCTGCATGAGAACAACCCCAATTCCACTACCAGACGCATCACATTCAATCTGAAACTCTTGTGAAAAATCAGGCAAACGTAAAACAGGAGCAGTAGTGATAGCTTCCTTCAACCACTGAAAAACTATTTCAGCCTTTTCATTCCATACAAATGCTTCCTTCTTAGTTAATTCAGTAAAAGGCTTGGCCATCTTTCCATAAACCAACACAAACTTTCTGTAATATCCCGTCAGCCCCAAAAACCCTCTCACTCCCTTAACATTCTTTGGAATAGGCCAACTTAAAATACTGCTGATTTTGGTAGGATCCATAGTAACCCCTTTTTCTGAAATAACATGACCCAAATACTCAACTTGTCTTCTTCCAAAGCTACATTTTTTTTATTAGCAACAAATTGATGCTTCTTGAGAATATCAACACTTTATATAAGTGTGATATGTGGGCAGACCAGCTGTCACTATAAACCAGTATATCATAAAAAATAACCAAAATGAAGTGACGAACGAAAGGCCTAAAAACCTCATTCATGATAGATTGAAATGTAGCTGGGGCATTTATCAACCCAAAAGACATAACCAAGTACTCATAATATCCTTCATGTGTCCCAAAAGCAGTTTTCTCGATGTCTTCCTCCTTCACACGTATTTGATGATACCCTGAACGTAAATCCAGCTTAGAAAAATAACGCATCCCATGCAGTTCATCCAATAATTCATCTACAACAGGGATAGGATACTTATCGGGAACTGTCACCTTGTTAAGCTCTCTATAATCCACACACATTCTCCATGAAGAGTCCTTCTTTTTAACCAAAATGACAGGACTGGAATAGGAACTGTTGCTACGTCTAATAACTCCTGCCTCCAAGAGTTCACTCACCTGTTTCTCAATTTCATCCTTATGATGATGGGGGTATCGATATGGCCTCACGCTAACAGGGCCCGTACCTGGGTAAAGAGTTATAGAGTGTTCAACCTCTCTTTTAGGTGGTAATTCCTGCAACTCCTCAAATATGATGGCATACTGTTGCAGTAATTGCTGCAATTGTTGAAGCTGTTGTTGCTCCAAGTCACTATCTCCCATAGCTGTATTCAACACTCCCTTTTTCCAATTTAACCCCTTTACAGTACAAAATTGATCACCAAGAAGCTCATTGAAAGAAGGAATCAACTTCTCTCTACTGCTGCCAATACCTCTTAATTCCACCACACGTCCATTGTCCTGGAAAGACATGGACAAGTCTTTCCAATCAATAACCATTTTTCCCAAGGTTTTATGCCATGCCATTCCCAAAATCAAATCCAAACCTCCAAGCTCCAGAACATGAGCATCAATTTGTATTTGAATTGTACCCATATCTAATTGAATTTTAGGACAAATACCCCATGTTTTAGCCCTACGACCATCCCCTAATTTTACTCCAATACCATCAGCCTCTTCCACCATTAAGCCCAAAGCCTGGACCACTTTGGGTGAAATAAAGTTGTGGCTGGCCCCGCTGTCCACTAGTACAATTATAGGAATTTCTCCCAATTTTCCTTCCAATCTCATGACATGAATTTCACCATGATAATCACCATTCAGCCCCAACAAATTCATAGAATTACAGTCCAACTGTTCCCCCTCAATCTCCACATCATCAGTTTCACCCCTAGTGATCTCCTCTTCATCATTGAAACTTTCATCGGCACCCAAAATCACCAACCTTAACTGCCTGTCCTGCCGGTCAGCACACACATGCAGGGGATGGTATTTGTCTCCACACCTAAAACATAACCCCTTATTTCTCCTTTCCTCAACCTCCTTATTAGAAAGATGCCTAACTCCCCTATCTCTGTAAGACGGTTGGGAACTCCGCTGGTTCACAGATGAAGACCCTACTGAAGCTTCAGATCTCCTCCCAGAAAAATTATCACCATTGGCTGTTCCTTTAGACCTCACATCACCACGCGTTTGAGTGTTTTCCTGCTGAAAAATGCACCATATTTCCTCTGAATCCACGGGAGAGATTCAAATTATTACTCCAAGATTTACTTCTAGCAACATTGATGACAACCGTCCCACAAATCTCGGCCTCCACACACCTTGCCATGCGAATGGCATCCAGTCGGTTCTTGGGCTGCAATGTGCGCACCCGCAATCGATTTTGATCCTTCAATCCCTTCATAAAGAAGCCTACAAACTGATTTTCTGGTAAACGACCCACTTGAGCAGCAAGAAACTCAATGATTTCAATATACTCTTCCACCGAACCCTCCTGCCTAAGATCAGCCAACTCCTCAAACGGATCATCCAAGCGTCCTCCCCCAAAACGTATTCTTAGAGCATTCTTGAATGATTCCCAACTGGGAGTGTCCTCCGAATCCAACCACGTTTGAAACCAGTGGATGGTTCCTCCCTCCATGCTTAATCTTGCCAATCTAATCTTGTTAAATTCTGAAATGCCTTGCACCTCAAAATATGTCTCAGCTCTAGTAATCCACCCTCTAGGGTCCATCCCATTGAAAGAAGGCAGTTCTACCTTCTTGGCCATCATACGAAATTCGTTCAATGTTTCCTGGTCCTCACCGCAATCATTCTCCCTTCTTGTATGCTTGCTACCAGAATTCTGCACCAACTCCACTAACGCCTCAAACCTTCCTGCCACCGTCTCCATGAAGGCGTCAAGTTTTGCTTCCAACGAACTCAATCTTTCCTCTGTTGCCTCCCCCCGCACGGTCTCAGGTGCTCCACGTCTCATCATTGAAAAAATTCTGGATGAACTTTCCTTACAAGATCCGGTAGGTCGGACCAATGATAGGTTTTAAGGGAAAATGCCAAGATAAAGAAGAAAGAATGAAAGAAAATCTTCTTGAATTCCAGAACAGATACAAGAATACAAGCAAGTTCCAGAGCTAGGCTCCTCAGAGAAAGGTTCTTTGCCAGATTTACAAAAACAACCCTCCTAAAACTTATCCTCCCCCAAAGCACTTCTATCATCTCTTATTAATAGTTGATCATGAACAGTTAAACAGAAACAGTTGAACAGAAACAACTAATAACTTCTAACTACTTTTATTAACAGATTTCTTTCTCCTAGAATAAACCAACCAATGTTTTGCCTTGTTTGGTTCAACAACATTTACAATATTATTAGGAATATCAGGATTTCTAACAATTAACTACAGGATATACAATTAAGAATGATGTAGTGATGGATGATTTGTCTATGGAGGATATACTGACATCGGATGATTCATGTAGCTGTCTCCACCTAGTGAAAAAAGACTTTGTTGTTGTAACTTATTATATTCCCTCCTCTTTTAATTTGTTTTTGAAGTCCAGGACTCCAGGTGATTTTGAGATATGGTGTACTTACAGTTGCTTGTATGCTATTGGACAATATACTTGTGTGTTCAAGTTCTTTTTCATTTGTTATTTTGTAATATACTCAACAACTTTTGCCTTGCAGACCTTTGGATGGACTCCTGAAGAAGCCAAAATGCACATGGTCGCGGACTATTTTAGTCTTTCGGAAGTATGGATATTTCATAATCATTAATTAAATTTTATTATTATTATTTAAATTCTATTTTTAGCTCCAAGTAGTCAATGAATGTTTTATCTTATATTTCTTAAATTGCAGTGGAAAGTGATTACTGAGGTACTTGGGCCAAATCCTCGACATCTATTTGAACTCTATGCACTTAAACAAAGCAATTATCACCTAAAGTAAGAGTTTTTTTTTTTTTTTTTGAATTATTTTATTATATGCTTATAAAAAAATTGTTATAATATAAGCAATAATACTCTATTGAGCATTATCTGTAGGTGTTTTATATTGTCATAGGTTCTGTACCATTGTTACACATCAGTGGAACTATATGTCTGACTATTTCATGCTTTTGCTTAACTGTAGACTAACACAAGACAAGGCTTGTACCTTTGAGGACACTGTAGATGCATATATAGCATATTTGCAAGTAAGTTCAAATTTAGGCATGAAATATATCATCTTTCTAAATTGCTTGTCAGTGGGAATATATGTCTACTTGGATATTTACTTCTCGTATCCGTTCACAGAGACTGAAGCTCTTACGATTATAGCAACTAAAAATATATCTATGAAAATATAGAATCACTGTCTTTCCTCTTTAATTTGCCAAACAAATTTCCTTATATCATTAATTTTTGGGATTATTCAAGAAGAGCTCATAAAATGCATGATATATTTTATATATTGCATTAATTTTGCCATGATAGCAGGAATGCAATAGCATGGAAAATTTTCTCCTATGAAGAGATAAATTTTAGTTTTCATCATTTTAACAAAATTTGACAAAATGTGGATATATAAAATTTTTTCTTTCCTTTTCGTATGTTAGAATAGAGAACCAACACAAGGAGGATTTTCTACAAGAGGCATGATTAGAGACCAAGAAAGAGAAAAGAGAGTACAAGAGATCTTGTAAAGGTAGTTTGACTAGAAGTAAGGAATGAGAGCTTAAGGAAGAGCTACATCAAGTTGACCAAAGCATGAGGATTGTTCGGACTGATGTAGATAGAGTTAATCTGACTTTATACACATGTTTTAGTGCTAGTTGGGGTTAAACTCTCTTGTTTGGTTAGGAGTAAGACTCTTTCTTCCTCTCATCTTCTTGGTGCCATAACTTGTAGTGGAAAGATCCACCCGCTCATGCAAGCCTAGCTTGACTTCTATTACCATGTAAAATCTTAATAGACTAGATAAACTGAGAGAGAAAAAAAAATCTAAAACTGTAATTTGGTTATTGATCACATTAAAGAGATTTGTACAGTAGGATTTACCCAATTTGAGATAATCCATATTAAATGTATTTGGACACTAACAAACTAACTTACTTTGTTAACTAACAAAGGACAAATATAACGTAACAAACTTACATTAGGAGCCTAGATCCATGCCTACAAAGCCTATACATTCTCTAACAAGTACAAAGTTAACAAAGTGTTCCAGTTTATGTCTAATCCCATAGAAGCTCACTCGGAAGCTATTAAACAGACACTTTGCCACCTAAAAGGTTAGGGTTCTATTGACCTTGGTTTAGTTTTGCAGCTTGCTTCTTTTGGACACTATTACCGTTTAAAGGTATGTTACGACGTTGATTAGGCCTCTGATGTTGATGATCACTATTCCACATGTGGTGCATGAATTCTTTTTGACCCCAACTAAATCCCTTGGTGGTTCATAAAGTAGACTCTTGTTGCTTGTTTAGTATTAAAGATGAATATAGGAGCTTGGCTTTCACTTTTACAGAATCCTCTAGATTCAATCTCATCCTCATGAACTCAACTTTGTTGTTGCTACTGTTGTGATATGTTGTCACGATCTCAACACAGTTGCCCTTAGTCACTATCTTATTCTCCATTCAAGAATAAAGCTAATATGAACTAAGAGAAAGAGGAGGACTCAATTGCGAAATCAGAAGACCAAAATAGGAATTATGTGAGGCCCCAAAAGGGAGGGGAAGCAACCCAAGTAGATGCAAGACTACATGGTCACTAACATTAAGTGCAAGAGTAGAGCTGGTAAAAAATAGATTTTGTTAGATATTAGTTGATTATGCTCTAATAGTCTATATATGTATTTGCTTTTGGTTGGGAAATGGACAACTTGAAACATCTCTTTATCTGATATTCCTATCTATTCTATATTTTTTCCTTTCTGAACCTACCATTTTTAAACCTCTCTTATTTTTAAACCTACCATTTGGTGCTTTTGTTGAGAGCATGGCAAGGTCTTCATCTTTTAAAGATGTTGCCACCATGAAAGCACTTATTTTTACCATCTAAGCTTTATCCACCAAACTCAACGCCTTGGAAACCAAAGTTGCATAGGCAAAACTAAGAATTGATAACTCTAACCATCTATTATAATTATCTATCACCATCCAACTTGTCTATCTCGATTCAATGATGATGATCCCTTGGGTTGGATGTTCAAGGTAAATCAATTCTTTGATTACCACCAGACCATTGATGAGCAACGATTGCAAATTGCAACACTGTACATGGAGGGAGAAATCCTAAGTTGGTACCAATGATACATACCAATGGTTAACTTATGTCTTGGTTCACATTTCTCAGATCCTTGGAATTGCGATTCCCTTTAGATTTTGATGATCCTCAAGGTACCCTCTTTTAACTACATCAAACAAATTCAATCCGAGAATACCAATCTCAAATTTAAAATTAGCTAATCATGTTCACAGTTTATCAACACCATTTTACATAAGTTGCTTTATCTTCAGTCTCAAAAGAGATCCAATGTGAAGTCATTCCATTTGCTGCAAAACCTAAATCAGGGTACGTTGCTTTAACGACCCACCTTTTCTTTCAAAGCGACGTCTTCTACGATGTCAAGAATGGCAAGACCCTTATCCACAAATGGAAAGGGGTTATTCCTTACGCCCACCGATTCTTGGATTTGCAAACTCCCTCGTGCCGATCTACTGTCTTGAGGGGAAGAGGGGCTTTGTTATTATTGTGATGAGATATTTACATCGGGGCACCTATGTCAGAAGCGATTTCATCTTCTGATTGCAACACCAAAATTTTTGTGGGAAATCAAATAGTATTTTAGGAAAGAATAAATCAGGAAATTTGTATATTTCCCTGTAATCTGTACAGATTTGAATAATTAGGAACAATCCCATAAATCAAGGGATCCTAGCATAAAATAGAGTTATTATATTTCCTAAAATAGCTTAGGTCTCATGTATATATCTTATATCATCTCTTTGTATTGAAATAATAAAAATCATATTTCAGTTAATCTATTTTTCCAGATGGTATCAGAGCTTCTGATCTAGGAAGTTCTGTCCGCGCGCGATAAACCCTAAGACGACAGCCTGCATTGCTGCTGCATTTTTCTTAACCCTAAGACGGCAACCTGCATTGCTGCTGCATATTTCTTAACCCTAAGACGGTAGCCTACATTGCTGCTGCATATTTCTTAACCCTAAGACGACAGCCTGCATTGCTGTTGCATTTTTCTTAACCCTAAGACGGCAGCCTACATTGCTGCTGCATTTTTCTTAATCCTAAGACGACAGCCTGCATTGCTACTGTATTTTTTTTCTAAGACGACAGCCTGCATTGTTGTTGCATCGCATCTTTTTGCTATAATGTCAAGGGAAGAGGAGATAGAAAGGGTGAAAACCGTTCTTAGTAAGCTGGAAAAACCTACAGGTATGTGTTCTTTGGCATACTCAGGTAAGTTTCCACCTTCTTTTGGATTAAATGTCTCAGATACGCCTTTTAACCAGTATTGGATATTGGACTCTGGAGCCACAGATCACATGACACCATTAGCCAAACACTTTTCCACATATTCCCCATGTCCCAGCAACAAAAAAATTGCCACAGCAGATGGAACCCTTATAACTGCAGCTGGTCAAGGAAATATCCAAATCAATCCTTTAATAACCTTAAAAGATGTTCTCCATGTCCCAAAGTTGTCCACGAACCTAGTATCTATACAAAAACTTATAAAGGATTTGTCATGTAAAGTTGTTTTTTTCAACGATCATTGTGAATTTCAGGATAAAGATTCGGGGAGGATGATTGGACATGCTAGAGAATGGAATGACCTTTATTATCTCGAAGATCCAAGTTTGCCCAGCAAGAATAGAATCTCTCACTCCTTCATATCTGAATCCTTGATGACCAACAGAGAAAAAATCATGCTTTATCATTGTCGGTTGGGACATCCCTCTTTTGGAGTGATCAAAATTATATTTCCCTCTCTGTTTACCAAGTTAGATGTTGAGAGTCTTCATTGTGAGGTATGTGAACTTGCTAAGCACAAACATATACCTTTTCCAATAAGTAATAGAATTAGCAATTTCCCTTTTTATCTTGTTCATACTGATGTATGGGGACCTTCTAATATTCCAAATGTGTCTGGTACTCGATGGTTTGTCACCTTTATAGATGACTGTACAAGGGTCACTTGGGTTTTCCTACTTAAACAAAAATCAGATGTCAGTTCTGTCTTCCTAAACTTCCACTCCATGATAAAAAATCAGTTTGGTGTTAATATTAAGATGTTTAGGTCAGATAATGCCAAAGATTACTTCAATCATGTCATTAATTCTTTTTGTCAAAAAGAAGGTATAATTCATGAGTCCTCGTGTGTCAAAACACCACAACAGAATGGGGTCGCAGAGAGGAAAAATGGACACCTATTAAATCAGACTCGGGCATTGTTCCAAAAAAGTGTCCCAAAAAATTTCTGGGGGGAAGCTGTCCTTACAGCAACATACCTTATAAATAGACTACCCTCTAGAGTCTTAGGATCAAAAAGCCCTATGGAAGTTTTGTCGTCTTTCTATCCAAACTTGTCTACTACAAATAATCTTAAACCAAGAGTTTTTGGGTGCATCTCATATGTCCATATTCATAGTACAGACAGGGGGAAACTTGATCCTAGAGCCTTAAAATGTGTCTTTGTTGGTTACTCACCCACTCAAAAAGGGTATAAATGAACAAGAGGGCTATTTCCATCAACCTTATCTTCAGGGGGAGAGTTTCAAGGAAGATAAGGAAAATAGTAATTCTAGTTTTCCCATTCTTCCAGACTTGATATTTGAACCTAAACGAGATCAAATTGAAGGTGTAACAAATGAAACTAGTCAAGGAAATGGTCAAGAAAAGGAAGGTGGTCAAGAAAGTGAAATTAATTGTGATGTTGATCAAAAAGATGTTGAAGCTGATCAAGAAGATGTTGAAGCTGGAAAATTTGGTAAGAAGCTGGTGTACTCAAGGAAGACTAAGGCCATTCCAGGATCAAGCCATGTTCAAGAATCCAACTCGACTCCACAAAAAGAGGTAACAATTTTTTCTCCAGTTGTGCAGGTTGAAATTGAAACCCAAAATGATCCTGACCTCCCAATTGCCATTAGAAAAGGAACAAGAAAATGCACCAAACAACCACTCTACCCTCTCTCAAATTACCTGTCTTTTAAAAATTTCTCTCCTACCCATAAAACCTTCCTAGTAAACCTAAACACTGTACTTCTACCTAATACCCTATCTGAGGCATTGTCTGACAGAAAATGGAGGCAAGCCATGGATGTAGAGATGGAGGCATTGGAGAAGAACAACACTTGGGAGTTAGTCACATTACCAATAGGAAAGAGGCCAGTTGGATGTAAATGGGTCTATACAGTGAAATACAAGGTTGATGGATCAATTGAGAGATATAAGGCAAGACTAGTTGCCAAAGGGTTCACCCAAACCTATGGAGTTGATTATTTAGAGACCTTTGCTCCAGTTGCCAAAATGAACACAGTTAGGGTGATATTGTCCCTTGCTGCCAATTATGGTTGGAACTTGGAACAATTTGATGTTAAGAATGCTTTCCTACATGGAGACCTTGAAGAAGAAATCTATATGGAGATACCTCCGGGATATGGTAAAGATGTTGCTCGCTAACACTGTTTGCAAGTTGAAAAAGGCATTATATGGGTTAAAACAGTCCCCCCGTGCATGGTTTGGCAGGTTTAATAAAGTTATGACAGGTCTGGGTTACAAACAAAGCCAAGGGGACCATACTTTGTTTTTTAAACATTCCAAGTCAGGGGGAGTAACAATATTATTGGTGTATGTGGATGACATAATACTAACTGGAGATAATAAAGAAGAGCGACAATTATTGAGTCAATGCTTAGGCAAGGAATTTGAGATCAAGACCTTGGGAAAACTAAAATATTTTTTGGGAATTGAAGTTGCCCACTCCGAGAAAGGGATATTTATATCTCAGCAGAAATACATCACTGATTTGCTCAAGGAAACTGGCAAGGCAGCTTGCAAACCTGCTAGTACCCCATTAGAACCAAATCTAAAGCTTGGAAATGCAGAAGAAGATGTTGATGTTGAAAAAGATATGTACCAAAAATTAGTGGGCAGACTTATATATTTGTCGCATACCAGGCCAGATATTGCTTATGCAGTGAGTTTAATTAGCCAATTTATGCATAGCCCAAAGAAGACCCATTTACAAGCTGCCCACAGAATTTTACAGTACCTTAAAGGAACTCCAGGAAGAGGGATTCTATTCAAAAGGAATGGTAATGTGAATCTTGAAGCATATACTCGATGCTGATTATGCAGGGTCAATTGTGGATAGGAGGTCAACTACAGGATATTGCACCTTTCTTGGAGGAAATCTTGTGACTTGGAGAAGTAAAAAGCGGGGTGTAGTGGCTCGGTCCAGTCTTGAAGCGAGAATTCCGAGCCATGGCACAAGGTATATGTGAGTTGCTATGGCTTAAAATCATCTTAGAAGACTTGAGGATAAAGTGGGAAGAACCTATGAAGCTCTATTGTGATAATAAGTCAGCAATCGAGTATAGCCCACAACCCAAGTGCAGCATGATAGAACAAAGCATATTGAAGTAGACAGACACTTCATCAAAGAAAAGCTTGATAGTGGCTTGATATGCACTCCATATGTGTCCTCTCAAGACCAAATTGCAGATATTCTTACCAAGGGACTGAGCTGCCATAATTTTGAGAAGATTGTATCCAAGCTGGGAATGGAAAACATCTATTCACCAACTTGAGGGGGAGTGTGGGAAATCAAATAGTATTTTAGGAAAGAATAAATCAGGAAATTTGTATATTTCCCTGTAATCTGTACAGATTTGAATAATTAGGAACAATCCCATAAATCAAGGGATCCTAGCATAAAATAGAGTTATTATATTTCCTAAAATAGCTTAGGTCTCATGTATATATCTTATATCATCTCTTTGTATTGAAATAATAAAAATCATATTTCAGTTAATCTATTTTTCCAGAATTTTGATAGCTAACGTTGAACTCACGAGGTTGCTAAACGGTTTTGAGCATGAGCAGAATCCATCATCCAATCATCATACCACTTCCTAATGATCCTTTTCATCTCAGTGCATGTATTAACCATTGACTTCTCATTTCTAGCTCTCCTTTTTTAGCTTGTTCCACCAAACAAGAGCATAGTCCAAAAATTCCGTAGCTGCAAGCCTCACCTTTGGGGTCTCCTCATAATTGTTGCATGAAAAAACATGCTCTATTTTCCTCTCTCACTCCAAGTATGCTTGCGGATCACTTTTTCCTTTGAACGGAAGAATGTTAAGCTTGACTCCTTCAAGCCTACTTGGTCTTGCTACTCCATCATTCCTTCTCCTATTTCTCCTTTCTTCTTCATCTTCGTGACCTCTATTCTCCAATAGATCCAATCTTTCATAGAGCTCATTGTTATGTCGTATCATTAATCCTTCTAAATATTGTGTTAATACCCTCATTTGGACTAGACTAAGTCCTACTTCTTGATTGTAATTTTCCTCCTCTGCCATCACAACAAATGAATCAAAAGCAACAAATAAAAAAAAATATTGTAACCTCACTACACTCAAGTGCATCACACAATTATGACTTTTCCTCTGATGAAAATACTCTTGCCTTTTATCACTCAAATTCTCCTTAGGTTTTTAGGAAATTCAA